ACACATACTATGCTGCAACAAGACTTAAACCTTGCTTTTTTGATCCCTGGTATTTGGAAAGTACTGTCAACATGTAGCTTACTAAAATGCTAAGAGGAAGGGCTGAGCTTCCATCGCTGAGTATACTTAGCACAGCACTTGTATTCAAATTCTTCACCTACATATGCATCCTGCAGAAAATTTCCTCACATGCTGTTATTTATATTTTTAAATGCTTTATAACATTTTCTCTTCATTCTCTAAAATGTTTTTTCCCTTTCCTGAACGGCAGTTGTGTTTAATGCTTCATGCAGTCAGCGACACACCCTGCAGAACACAAGACATAATCAAGTAAACACGCCCTGCAAAGCAATGTGCTCGCCTCAGTCCCCAGCCCACCCCGACCGGGGAGCTACAAGCACATCCTGTGAATAAAAGCAGAAGGGTAAAATCTCACCGTGTGTACACTGCCACACAACCTCCCAGGCAAAAAGCTGCACTTCAGCTGGGAGCAAACACACCTCAGCAGCAGAAGGGGCACAAGTGAACAAGCACTGCACCTTCCTTACCAGTCACTGCACATTCCCAATTGATGAACAAAACCTAATTGACCTAAACGATGACTGTATGTACCCAGCTTTACCTTTAGCAAACAATGCTGCTCATGACCCAGTCACAGCACATACAACCCCAGTGCAAGAGCCATAGCACAAGCCAGAGGCTAATATAAAACTCAGCCATGTGTGAAGAATCACAAGGAAAACAAAAGAGGAAATCATACATGAGTGTTACAAGATGTTATGTTATCCAAACCCACGCTGAATGGGTAAGGATCAAGGTTACACTTTTTTGGGAAAGAGGAAATTTTGAGATTACAAAATAGAGATAATAAAAAATATCAAGGATTAATATAAACTGTATTAATGTGAAGTTAAAAGTAAAGAACAGCACATCATCTAGAAATTAGGAATAGCTAGGAAACCGGGAGAAACAATAATTTATGCAGTAAATATCCACAAAGATGATTCAGATAAAGCATTTCTTGGCCACTTTTTTTTATAGGAAGGAGGTACCAGTTTTGTTTCTGTGAGGCATTAGTTAGGAATCCAGATAGAGTCACCCATGATCTGATTTATCTATAAGAAAGTGAACTGGAATGAGGAAAACACTCTTTTTTGCAAGAATTGTGAATGAAGGGATTTGTTTTCTAATTTTAGAGCTGAAGCTGATTTTATTCTCTAGTCTTAGGTGAGTCAATTCATCCCTCTGCTTCAGTTTCTTCATTGATGAAAGAGTTCTGAAAATATTTACTTAGTGATTTCAGAATAGCAGTTTGGCTCAATTAATGTTCTTAATGCAATTTGAAGAGAAACAATAGATGGCTTAGAGGCTACTGTTGTCAGGGAAATGTTAGTTTATTGCTCACACGAAAAAGAGTTAACTTTTAAATCAGTTGTCAGTATCAGTTTACTCATTCCCGTTCTAATGATGTGACAACCACCTCGAATAAACCCGTGCTTTTAGTTCCCATTCGAATACACAACATGATGTAAGCAGCCGCACCCAGCTGGACTGGGGACAAATTCCTGTTCTTATCTCAAGCTCGATAGAAGCCTTATGTAATTAAACAATATTGTGACGAGGGTCTTATCTCAGGGCATTAACTTCTTCTTCCCTTGGCAAGGATGTAAGTGAGCTGGACGCAGTTGGAAAGCTGTCCTGGCGCTGCTCTGAGCCCATTACTTTCTTCAGAGCTTGACCTTTTAGTTGCAAATAAAGTCTTCACAATGTGAGTTCTTACTGCCCTGCGTTCTTGAGGCTCGAGCCTGCAAAAGGAACGACTCTTCAAGGCCACCTCAAGATTTGTCTACAGTACAAGTGAAGTGGTTTTGTAACCACTTCAGCACCCTCTTGGCTCCTGAGAGAGCTGATGCCTTTGCACAGGACAAATAATAATAGCTAATGATATTGGGGCCTTGCCAGGAGCCCAGACGAGCACTTGGTTGTGTAACTCTAACTTGATAGGTGCTGTTGCGTTTTGGCTTTTCCACTACAGCTAGTACCCGCTGGCTATGCCTATGTAATTGGTTTGACCTCAGGAGAGATGAGAATTGTCTCATTAATTTCAGTGGGTTGTTCAGTTTTGGAGCACAATGCAAAGTGCAGCAGGATTTCATGGCTGATCAGTTAGCAATCTGCTGAATATGCTTGCACAATGCGGTTGGATAATTTAGATGTCTGAGATTAAAAAAAAAACCAATTAGGTATTTTTATTTATTCCCTGGGGGCTTCTGAGGGATTGTGCCTTGTTATCTCATCCCTGGGATTCCTCCAGGGATTTAGTTTTGAGTATTCTCAGCATGAATTAATCTCTCTTACTTTGAAAGACTATGGCATTGATTAACAGCTTTGACTCTTTGGTAGTTTTTCTCTGCTTGTTTCAAACTGAATTTCTTTTTGTATCCGGGTATGGGCCTTGTTTCTGGGGGAAAGGAAAAAATTGAAAGATGCAAATCTCTAAGTACAGAGGTGATGACAGCAGGAGGAAGAGGAAGAAAGCTGCAGAATGAATTAGAAAAGCAGTATGTTGGACACAGCATATTTAGATTGCTGTCATTTCCCTCTTTCGCTTGCCCTGCGTTTAGACTTAAAAGGCAAGAGTAGATGTATTTTGTTCCTGCACTGTAATCTAATGTGCACCATATGTGAGTGACAGCACTTAATACAGCAGTGGTCACACTTTACCTGCAGCAAAAAGTCCCTGACCGATGCCATTAGCTGGCGACATCATTAAGGGAAGGCCCCGGGTGGTGTGTGGAGCGGTGCAGGACCAGCTGCGAGCCTCGCGTCAAAGCCGGCAGGGATGCGGTCACACAAAAGCATCAGGCGAAGCGGTGAGCCTGGGGAAACGTCTCGCCTAAAGAACGGGGAGCTTTTCCTTATTTTAATTCCTCGGCCTCCAATAAAACTGCAGAAGGATTGTCAAGAGAAAGTGAAAGAGCCATGCTGGCACCAAAGGAGTTCATCCTCTGCCGGGGAGGGGTGCACGTCTCGGTGGTGCAGGGGTGCTCCTCCTTCCTTTATGGGCACTTTGAAGCGTGAGGCCTTCCCCAGCCTGTCACTGTGGCGTGACTCTGTCTCCAGACAGAGACTACACCGCAGTCACAAACCTAAGCTGTCATGATTGCGATGCTGAGAACGCAAGAGATGCCCGAC